ACACAAAATATTTTAACTTTTTTCCAGACGATTGGTACAATTCCCAATAGTACCACTGATGTTTGTACTGCTCACACAGAACTTCAGCAAATTATGCCAAAACTCAAGACTGCGATGTCAAAAATGGATCTTGAAGAATGCAAACATTATATAACATGTATAATATCTGAAAAATTTGCTGAGAAAGCATTACAAGATAAACTGGAAGAATTAAAAATAGAAAAAGAATTAGACTCAGCAATGAAATCATTAAGTTGTCTTGACAGTCAAGCTTTTATAAAAATTATAGAAAATCAGAAAAGTTTGGAAGGAAAAATTGAAGAAATCAAACATTTGAAAGAATCCATTGCTTTGCTTGAAGAAAAGCTGCAATGTGTACGTATCTATAAAGAATTATATTTACTAAAAATATTTTAGGTAATTGAATTCACACAGAATAAAGCTATAAATAATTTTGCTTTTACATTTTATAGGCTCTCACTCCCATTCAACTACCCGAAATATCGAAATCGTCGTCCAGTCTAAGCCACCAGAAATTCGTGCAAAATATAAAGCAATATAATGATTTATTACAAGAGTTAACTGAATGTTACGTACGACAAATAGAACGTTTTGCTACCATAGAAAAAAGTTTAAAAGAGATTACAGATATACTTATGCTACTTGATGATGACAACTTGAAAATGCAGTTTTATCAATACAGAGAAAAATTATGTCATTGCTGCAAACAGTTAGCCGATGAACAGGTGAAAATTATCTCAGATAGGCAGACTCTGATTAAATCGCAAAAGCAGTTTCAGAATATATTCTCAGATTATAATTCCATTTTATATGAATTAGAAATAACGATCTATGAAAATGCGAAATTGAATGTTCTAAAGAATAAAAGCGCTCGTGAAAACATGCAGAAGTTGGAGGAATTAGAACAAATTAAGCACGATAAGCAATTCTTTGAAGAGGAAAAAAGAATTTTAAATCAAGAGAAGGATAATTTGGAAGAAGAAAAAAAATTACTTGAAAGCCAGAAAAAGAGCTTAGATATGGAACGCGTATTGTTATGCGACGAAAAAAAACTTGTGATGCAAGAAAAAGTCAATCTGAATGAAGAGAAAACGTCACTCGATTATCAAAGTCAATTATATGAAAATTGCGAGAAAGCTCTGCAAAAAGAGAAAAAGCTGTTGCAAGTTTACTGCGAAGAGCTGCTGGACAAGGCAAATATCCTGGAACAGAAAGCTGAGAAGAAGAATATTGAATTTAAAGAAGTAATGGAACAACTTGCACAAAAAGTAAGTAAACTTTTTATTTTGAACTGATTTGTGTAAAGAATAATGCAATTAAAATAAAATATAAAACCTATACATGATGAAAAAAATATGTATATAATTTTATTGTTCTGATGCTATTTCCTTCTTTTCTAGACGGAAGAGATTAATCTGTTAAGATCACAATTAGCACTCTACGAAGAAGACTTCCAATGTGAGAAAAATCTTAAGGAATCCTTGCTAGAAGAGAAAAGTAAATTGGAGAGGGAATTGCAGAAACAAATAGAATATAACAAACAAATACAAAATTTTACGGACGAGCAGACTACCAGCTCTAATAATGCAAATAAATCTAAACCAGTAAGTAGTTTGAATTTTATGTAATATCTTTATCTGACAATATAAATTGACTCGATTGTGTTTCCTACTCTTTATTATCACTAGGACAGTGACAAATGCAGTGGATATACGAAAGGCGGCAATGCCATTGCACAAGCAAAGCTGTCATTTTATCAGAAATATCGAAATATCGTTTTAATGAAGCAATGATTAATTAATATTTTTATCCAGATTTTAAAATTTTTTTTCTCAAATTGACTTTTCTCGTTTTATTTATATAGTAGACATCTAGATTAGTTTTACTTCTCTATTGTAATATTTTATTATAATTCTACAATTGTCATTCAAATATATAGCACTCATGTCGTGCAATTGGCATTGCTGATAGTTTTTTTAATATTGGGTTCTTCTTTTTATGTTTCTTCTTTCCTTTTAGATATTTATCTTTTGGGTATCTCATTAGTAATAATACTATGCTCTGGGTTAATATTTAGAAAACTTCTGTAGCTTATGATATTTATTGTTCAAAGTATTTAGGGGATCATATTTTACACATGATTTAATACAGGTTTTGAATATCTCTGTTAGTTTATAAATATTAATGTTCAGTAAGCATGCTTAAAAATTTAGCTTGTTTTAGCTTATTATATAAGTAGTATTCGAGTCTATTTATAGTTTAAAAAAATGATTCCTTGCTGTTTTAATGAATAACTGTTGAATATTAATTTTAATGAATATTATGTTGAACCATAAACAAACATAGGTAATAATCCAGGGTTAAGTTCAGCATTAGTGATTTTTCCAAATCTAGCTCAAGTCCAGTGCCTTGCAGTTGTTGATAAATTAAATATGTTTAAATATGCTAAATATATAACGCACATGCTAACAACAATTGGAAACATCCAGATTCCAATAGATGGTTATTAATTTTCTTATTTCGTTATATTTAATTATATTATTATTCTATTAATATTTGATCATATATTGTACAGTTATTTATTGCTTTTAAAATGCACAAAGCATACATTCCATAAATAAATAAAAGTTAAAATGGACCAACTAACGAGCAACGAAATGGGTGTGAATTAAACTAAAAAATTCATAAGTGATACATACATTACATGTTTATAAACAGAAAATCTATCAAAATTGTCACAACTCTATATATATACAATTTTTTTTTTTTTTTTAAGGATCGATTCAATTTGTTCCTTATGCGATGTAATATCGCATAATACGATACCGAACGTAACACTAGTTATGTTATGATTACAATAATATAACTAAATAAACTAGGGTAAAAACAATTGCGTTAGAATATGTAGACTAATATATTTTAACTTAATTACAGAATGGTGTTGTAACAACGTGTCCAAAATGCGCGAAGCCATATCAAGGCTTATCAGCTTTAATGGAGCATATTGAAAGATGCCTAGATTAATAATAACTGAAAAACATAAATTTGCACTAATTCACTTCTGTCGAACAGAGACGGGGTCTAATAGCATGGATAGTCGAAGAAACAAGAGACTTTTTTGAAGAAATTTCGGAACCGATTAATACTGAATGAACCAATTTCTTTCAACTGTTATTTATGGGAATGTATCTGTGTTGCGTTATATATATACTATTCATATACAGGGTGTCCGACAAGTAAGTGACCAAACGAAAGGTGGAGGTAGATTAGATCAAACTGAATCGAAAAGTCGTAAGAAAAAATGATTCAAGACTTTTCGACTCAGTTTGACCCAATCTACCTCCACCTTTCGTTTGGTCACTTACTTGTCGGACACCCTGTATATGAATAGTATATATATAACGCAACACAGATACATTCCCATAAATAACAGTTGAAAGAAATTGGTTCATTCAGTATTAATCGGTTCCGAAATTTCTTCGAGAAAGTCTCTTGTTTCTTCGACTATCCATGCTATTAGACCCCGTCTCTGTTCGACAGAAGTGAATTAGTGCAAATTTATGTTTTTCAGTTATTATTAATCTAGGCATCTTTCAATATGCTCCATTAAAGCTGATAAGCCTTGATATGGCTTCGCGCATTTTGGACACGTTGTTGAACAACAAGGATGAAATGATACCGTGAGCGTTGCGGGCGTTAAGTGGAACGCGCCCCTTGTAATGTTGCATTGTAGATGATTTTAAAACGAAATTAAGTATGTAGATTAACTAAGCGTGTAGATTTAATATTAATTAGAGCAGTGTTAAAACGCGTAGTATGCATTTTAAATTATGCGTTTTCAATGAAGGTTACACAACGTATATAATGTAGACTTAAAAAGTATAATACGTTTTTTAATATATTTTAATAATATGTATTAGTTTTTGTAGTTCGTAGTAAGAATAAGGTTTTAAAATGATAAGGTTTTAATATGACTATTGTTATATTTTTTCAATGTTTTTCTTTTTTTTTTTTTCATTTTTTATTTTTTCATTTATGTTACTGTAATCATTTTAGTTTATTTTAATACTTAATACAATACATTTGAAAATTATAGTGAAGTAAGATCTGCAAGTTTTTTTGATATAAAAAACAGTTATTACATTGAAAAAATAATTTTCAAATTTTATATTAGGACATGGTGCATATATGTGTGAATGCTACATTACATTATTGATAATTGTATATATCACACAATGTTTGCCCCACAACCGCTAGTTACCTCATGTAATAGTGTGAGTATATTAAATAATAAATATAGTTTTGGAAGAAACAAGAGTTTCCCAATGGAAATAAACCATTCTTATTAGTGAACAAAATATATGTAAAATAAATCGAATTATGTCGCGTAACTCTATGCTAAAGATAAATATGCCAGATAATTAATGGCGAAAACATCTATACTCAGATACATCTATAAATAATTGTTACAAGCGCCTATTTATATAAAACAACATATCCCTATTTGTTTCTACGCACGGCAGGAGAACGTGATAACAAAGACAAAATATGCGTCTTTCTCGAAGATTATTGTATATATTGTATGTCTGCTCGAAGTGAGGGGGAAAAAAATGATGCCTGACCTTGAGTGGAGAAACCGCGGTCAACGATTCTTCCCCATGCGAAGAAAGACGTATGTCTTTTTGTGCTACATCACTAGCGTGCCATTCCTTCGCTTTTTCGCAAATCAGTCGGAGGGGCACGCACGACGTCGACGACGACGACAGGCCTGCTCAAGGTGGGCCGGTCTGTTCATTCTTAAAAATTACAGCTTTACGATTGCCCGTTTGATGCCCTCGCGGGGATGCCCCCATGATTTCTGCAGATATGTGAAACACGAAAATCCAGATCTAGCTAGTAATAATAGGGATGACTGCGCAAAAAATGAATAAATTAAAGAGAAGGAAATTTTTATCAATTACTTTTACATTTAATCAGAAAAAAAATGAAAAATCCAGTTTTATTTATACTTTAAAAATTTTAATTTATAGTTTTGCGTAAGCTTGTATTGATCCATTTTTTTCGATAAATTGAGATTTTTGCTGAGCAGAAGAAAATACGGTCCTGAACCAGATGCCAATTACAGAGTTAATTAATGGTCAGTCCGGGGAATCACCTCGACTTAATAGACCGATGCGTTAATGAATACATGTTAATGACCAGAAGCATACTCTTGTCTCAAAACATCTTCTAATTTACATTCCTTCGATGATGGAAAGGTGCAATGCGCGAGCGTTCATTAATTAAGGTGACGAGCGGAAATGCAGATAATATCATTTAATAGTGTAACATGCAAAAGAATCAATAATATCTCGAAGTTGTAAAATTTTCCCTGTGGAACCGGTTGATCAAGATTTCATTGAAAAATTCTTGAACTCGTATCTTTCTATATCCACTTACGAGAAAAAAAAAAAAATATCGACAAGGATTTATAAGATATAGAATTTTTAAATTTTTCCCCTGAAAAATCAGGGGAGCAGAGTAAAAGAAATTTCGCATTTCTATATATTTTCGGTTACAACAAGAGATCCATTTTAGTTTCGATATTAAAACAATTGAAAATATGAACAATTTTAGATTTTTCGAACAAAAATTATTATCTTATTATTATCTGTTATAGTAAATTTTTCTTTTTCTCTGTTGCGTTATAAAAAATTATGAAGCATTGATAGTAAATCTATTGTATCATCATTTATTTTGTCGTATAGGAAAAAATGTTCGAATACTTAATATGCGAATAATTTATTTTGATCTGCCGTAGAATGCGAATCTTTAAGTGTTCTCAAGTGCAAAACATATAGTGAAACAATTAATGCGATATGAGTATATAATCAAAGTATTTCCGAAATGTTTGTTATGCATATTGTGTACGATCCCTTGTTGTGCGGCAGGTATCGAAGGCGGATTTCTCATATAACTTTATGCATTCTGACAATTTTGCATATCAACTTCAAAATGCGATTGTGTCATTCATCTATCTCAATTTTATCTGAATTTTAAATTTAAACATAAACATACCCGATCGGATACGTCATCAACTGTAATAATATATATATATAACAAGAATATACAGTTTTAAAGCTTCATAAAAGTTGCATAATATTAACTTTGCGGTAATGCCGTTCTTAATTTAACGACCGAGATTTCATGAATCGTTCCTAAAAGGTATAAAATGACAATCTCAGAGAGAGAAAAACAAAAATTAACTTTCACTTACGAACATAAAACATCGTAAATTCTAGATCAAGGACAATTCTTTATCAGAGGTCACTACTATTGTTACAAAAAATTATATATTTCAAACTGTTATGAGCTGTATTTGTATTATTAAGTATAGTTGCTTTCAATTTTAATTTTATATCTTGAATTGTTAATTTTAATAAAAAACAATATTGTAAATACTTTTTTATAACCGTGTTGCATAGTATAGAGAGATATGTCACATATATTACTCGATAATAGCTTTTTTGCAAACGATTTAATTTGGTTCTAACATATTTACAGCGCATTTAGTATGATTTTATAAATATCAAAATTTGTTTACATAAGATTTTGCAAAAATGGCAATAGAAGAATAAAACAAGTAGAGTTGTGCAAATTAGAAACTTGCACATTGCTTAATGTGTGACGCCGCTAGATAATAATGACAATGATTAATCGCGCATCAAGAACTCGGCGTTTCTAATTCACGTCAGAAGAGATCGGTCATTTTTTGAGATCCTCGAATATTTTTTGCTCATAAGAACGCATAGAATTCCAAGAATGATCTTCATCCCATCAGTCATCATCATCCCCCTAACTTAAATGGCCGCCCAAAAACGCAATCTGGCGAAATACAATTCCAGTCCGGGAACACAAAAGTGCGTTTTCCCAGAATACCTTTTGCCAACGGGACAATACCGAGAAGTATTGTTAGATACGATTAGATAGATGTTAAACGT